GGGAAAGACAAGAGGGATTGTAAACATGTACTACTGCCTGTGGTGTCTGTGCATATTCATAGAGGTTTAAAAGCAGAAAGAAGAAAAAAAAAAATTACAGGCAACTGTTGAACTTCTTGCCTTTGAAGTTAAGAATATATGTTCAAGAAAAAACACTCTTCAGGAGTTGAAAAAAAAAGCAGTATGAGTATTAACAGCTATTTAACTGTTAATGCACAGGTGCAGTAACTCAAATAGGTTTAAACATAAATAAACAAATAACCAAAATAGATATTTATGGATAGCTAATTTAAGTTACCCCAAAACCAGAATAGATCGGATAGAAAAGCACCTTTTGACGAAAAAAGTTGAATCCACTGTATCAACTGTAATCCACTGCATGCAGCAAATCTAGAGTTGAGGTAAGAAAGGAAAATAAAACAATTTACCCAGATACCACCCAGGGTTCTGCATGTTGATCAGAAATATTGAAGAGACGGCAGCCCAAGTTCTCCACATCCTCTAGTCGACCTTCACGTGCCAATAAATAACCATATACATCCATTCCTAAAGTGAAACATTTGAAGATCATTCATCAAGAAATGGAAAGTTCATTCACCACAAGAAAAAACAAAAACAAACCCCAAAACATCTACTTTAAACTATGGAACTACCAGTAACTGTTCAAGATACACAGCTTCTGAATGCAAATTCTGACTTAAAAGCCAGGTACAACAATATATAATATTCCACTACATGCTCGATTGCATGTAGCTGCTACTATAACGTTACTCATCAGATCATTACACTAGGTAAACTTTCTTTTAGGATTTACTCACCTTTTATTAGGTAAGGATCCAGCATTTGTGCTTGTTCAAATTTTAGAATAGAGTTTTTATTATCTCCGGCTCTGAAATACAGGTCTGCTAAGCTCCCCAGTAAGTCTACATTATCTCTCAGCAACGACTTTTTCTCTAGAGAGCTTTAAGAGAAAAAAAAGGTACCTATTATTTATATAATGCCATTTTTAATATAACTATATATAAATATTAATATATTATTTCATTACATCATGCTCTTTGAACTCTTACCAAATGGTATTTATTGCTCTTGTGTTATCTCCGGTATGCACAAACGCATATGCCTTGATCCAAACTGAAAGCCAATCCAAGTTAGGAATACTCTGAATTACGTTGATTGTCATAGAGGCCACTTCCGCACCTTTCACCGACAGCGAGAGCAAGCCTATTCAGGACGGTATATACATCAACTTCAGCCACCAGAAATTGCTTTTAATACAAATTAATTGTCTGAAGACCAGAAACTCCATCCCTTGACAAGCATAAACAAGTAGCTTGTTACAATGCTTTCTGTAATTTGCATAATGTAGGCATTACATATTACATGCAACTGTAGGACAGTTACCTAGTCCCAAGCATAATTCAAATTATAATACTGTTTAATACTGAAATTGTAACAGCGTCCATACACTTACCTAGTATGGCATCAAGTGCTAAAGGGCACTGTCTCAGTACTTCTTTGTAGCTCGTAACAGATGAGCGTTCTTGACCTGCTTTCTTGTATAGATTTGCCAGCATCATATTGATCTATAAGCAATGGAAATGTTGGCAGAGTCAAGTATGAAAAAGGTGAAAGCCTCACTAAGAAAGGTCACAACTTTGTCTTCAAGCATGCCTGCCTCCCTCCCTCCTGTTCTGGGCAGAAGACAAAATTACCAGCTCTTCCTTTGAGATCACTATAACCTATCCTTGAGTATAAAATTAAAAATGTTTCTTCTTTCCGAGTCTTACATTCTTTTGTATTTGCACAGTACATCTTGAAATCTCAGTGTTTTGCATATAGGGAGTCAAGAGATGGACAAGCTTTATATATGATGCCAAGAAGGACCTGTATGTCCATTACATTAGCCACCTTTGAGTTGATCTCTCCAGACCAATGGAAGTCTCTGAGAAAATTAGCTTAGGAAGGCAAAGAAAGTTTCCATTTGGCTTCTGAATGAAGCCATGATTGATGAAAGATCAGAAAGGATCTGAACTCCACACAAGCAGCTGGTTTCTGCTACACTACTTTATTTTACTAGTGTGTTTAGGTAAAAAGTTGGCTTTTCTCAATCTTTTCTTCTTTTTCTGTTCTATAAGCTGGTCTTTAAACAGAACACTTTGACGTTACTAGAGTCTACGCCATGGACACTGTTAACACAATACAGGAATACTGCAAACATGAAACATAGTTGCTTGACCTGATGTGTTAATCTTTTAAGCTCTTACAACATAACAGAGCCAGCAAGCAAAGACTCAACATATCTGGCACTGCAAACCACAATGAGATCTAAATATTTAACATTATCTAAACTGTTATTAAAAAGGATGAAAAGATTTTAAAAGATGGAGCACTGTCGTTCCTTCTACTTGCCAAAGTCTTCAGCCTTTCAAGGATCTTACATTGTTCAAACTATGCAATAAGGCATGAAGTGCCATTCCTTACACATTCTGGGTTCAAGAACATACTAAAACACTTGCTCAATTTTAGCAATCACAATTTATCAAGTTACATTGACTGGCTAATAGTGAAAATACCACAGAACAGTCAACCTTGTGAGACAACTAGCCTACAAGTCTCTCCCTCAGCTCTAGCAGGCAACAGAGTGCCTGTCCTGTCCAGTGATACACAGCTCTTCCACGGAGACTGGGATTCTACTTTGTGGTTATAGCCAGGCAAAGTACATTAATTTAAAAAATTGCTTTGGCCCTCACATTTACATGTTTGGCTCAGAACTGCAGAAAATTATTCAGTTAGGTAGCTGGCAATTGCTTACTAACTTGCAGTAACTCAGCTGTTTGCAGTCATATAAATTTTTCTCCTGGTAGATGCTTTTGTTGATACCAGCCATTATTCTTTACCCTATGAAAAGTATTCATGATAACATGCAAAGAAGAACTATCAAATGGACGATACAGATTCCAAGCATTATGTATGGATATACTAATACTTTACAAGTTTTTAGAATTACAAAAATTAGTTTCTTCATCCTTGTACACAAACAAAATTCTGTACCTTGTGCGCAGTACTAAAAAATTAACCAGGTAATTCACACAAATCAATAAAGATGCACACAAACATTTAACTCTTTTAACTTTTTTTTAATTCTTTCCTACAAAGGGAATACAAAATTTGTCTGATTTTAAAGAAAAGAGGCCAAATAAACGAAGCTAATTTAAACATTAGGGAGTGTTTCCAAACAACATTTAAGTAATACAAAAGCAAATACCATGACACAATGCCATTATATGTCTAATATAGGCTATGTTCTTTTTGACCACGTACTGGGCTACAGATTCAAGATACGCTGACCAAAGACTCATGACAGAAGTCTGCCAGAACCAACCTTTGGGGTCCTCTGTCTGGAAGGAATCCCATCAAGAATAGCAATGGCATCTTTATCTTGTTTCAGCATTGTATAACATTCAGCCATTTTATATTTCACTTCAATTTCAGATGGTAAACACTGAAATAAAAAATGAACTTTAAAGTACAGTACTGTTTTAGTCCAGTAAAATTTGAATAAGGTTTTCTCATTAAATGATTACACCATGTTGAAAAAAATCTAGTGCAGGAAAGCAATGCAACCTACTACTAGCTCATATTGCTCCTGTCTTCAACAGAAAAGCACGAACTACACATACAAAAAGATTTCATGCTTGCGACCGTATGAAGTTTTGCATTAGAAAACACCACACTGGTATTTTCAAAAAGAAGTAGCCTTAAATGTCAGGTTTATTTGACATGATAAATCCACAATCTAATGCCATAATATTAGCCAGCAACGTGATCAATTTAAGCAGCACATTAGTCAATTTTTAAATACCTGGCTTTGGGGAGTTGAAGCAGCGTTCCCAGTAGAAGGTCTTACTTTTGAAGTTTTACTTAATGCTTTTTTCTGCTGCAACGCCATTGTATACTTACTTACAGCATTTCTATACTCTTTATCATGGAAGAGAGAGTCTGCATGATATACAAGGAGCTGGTATTTCTGAGATGGTGAAAACAGTTCCCTACAAGAAATGCAAACAGAAAGGCTGAGATCAGCTAACTGTAGATCCTTACGGATCCAAAGTATTTGTAGCTTTGGTTTGTCAGACTTCAACTTCCAACTGTTGCTGCTTCTTTACTACACTGAAAGGGCCCTTGAGTAACAGGTACTATCTCCTCACAAAGGTATTACCTTGTCAATTTCTTTTATCTGTATACAAACAAACATAATAGCCATTCCTGACACCTCATCAGTAACAACAGGTTATGTTTAGCTGCTTAGCCACTGTTTTCACAACAGAGTAGCTCCCATCCTCCCCATAACAATCCACATGCTGTCAACGTCCACTCAAGCACATTTTGTTTGAATGGACTCAAGCTTACAAGGCAACCCAGCTCCTTGTACAGCTATCCTGGTCCTAATCCACACGTTCATACACTTCACAAACCCGCTTTATAACACTTCCAGATTGTTTGCAGAAGTGTTGAAGAGTTAGGGTTTCAGAATGGAATTTTGGCTTTAATTAGTTCCTCAAAACCCATCCAAAACGTAAAATGATATCTCACAGGGAAGTCCTGAAAAATAAAGGGAATCACTTGAGTCAGGGGAAGAACCATGATCTACACAGGGCACTCTTGGAAAGAGAAAATCGCTCCGTGTCTGTCAGGACGCTCACGCTGTCCCGGGTACCCCGAAGGGTTCGGGTTATGCTGCCAACGCTGAACCCCGGGCAGAGGCGGGCTGACAGAGCCGGGCTTCATCCCCCGCCGGGCCGGGGACAGGAGCCCGGCGGGAGGGACAGCTCTGAAAATCAGCCTGCCTCCTTCCCTGGCTCATAAGACATCCCCCGTCACCCTGCGAGCTGCCGCCTGGCCTCTCTCTCCCTCAGCGCCACCGGCCCCGTCAGCCCGCCGCGCCCTCTCGCGGGAGGGCCACTCACGGGTTGTTGCCGCTCATCGTGAGGAGAAGCCCGCTGAGGAGCCGCACGTTAGAGTGGAGCCCGGCGGCCGCCATCTCTCGTACGTGCTCCACCACACTCATACCGGCGGCGGAAAGGCGCGGAGCGGAATAGACCGACGGCAAAGAGTAAAACAACACCGACACCGCCGCCCGCCGGCACTCCAAAATGGCGCCACCGAGGGGGCCTCGCACGCCGCCGCCGCCTGCAGGTGCCCTCGGCACTGCCTTCATAGCGGGAGCGCGGCCCGACAGGCGCGCGGGAGGGCAGCCCGGGGCGGTGCGAGCCGCGCCAGGCCCCCGGAGACGCCGCGCCTGCGCAGTGGCGGGGCGGGAGGGGCGGTGTTGACGGCTGAGGGAGTTGGTTCGCCTTAGGGCGGCGATGGGCTTTCACACGGGGGTAGAGGGGTCCCTTCTCGACTCGGTATCGTTTTACGGAAGAGACATACTCCTCGTGTCTGCGCAGCTCTTGAGTCTTGTCCTTTTTCTCCTGAGACTTTATTATCTGCTGGTTGTGGCAGCTAAATGGGACAGAGGTAACAGAGATAACGAAGCTCCTGCCTATAAAAATCGGTAACTGAGGAGGAAGACCCTTCAAAACCTAGATTTATTCTGGGCCACAACCAGGGGAAAAGCCTCGCTAGGGCCACCCTTAACTACAAGGCACAGACTGAAAGGAGTCTGGAATCATGAACTTCCCCCCCCTTATTACAAAAAGAATGCAAAACGTTGCAGACCTATTACTACTACTACAAATCAAATCAGTGGGAGCTTCCAGTTTGAACACACCATCACTGCTGCCTGGAGTGGAACACACCCCTCAACAAACACACCAAGCGGGGAAACAGGACTGGTGCTGGACTTCGTATCAGGCAACACAAAAAGTGTGTTGCTGCTGTATGGTGACAGCGAAAGAAGTATTGCCACCACGGAAAGAGACAACTTGGAATAAACCAAACTTGGATTTGTAGTTCTTCAATAAGCCATCTTGCTGATAAAACAGTCACAGTTTTTGCCAGTGTCGTGTGATGGTTGTGTTGGACTGAACCTGCCATCGCAGAGGCAGCCTCAGACAAAGCTGCATGTTATCAGCCTGCGTTACCCTTTGAAGGCATTTTAGCAGGATGAAGTACTGCTCTGCGAAGGCAAACCTGCTAAATAACGAGGTACGTTGCCACAAACTACAGCCCGGCTAGTAACCCCCTGTTTTCAGTGGGAATGATTCACTTCCTACTGATTGCCATTACACAATAATGACAGTCTTTTCACAAAAAACAGAACTCCGATTTCTCTGAAGGCTGTCCATAAGACATAAAGCAGTTACCACATTAATTACAAGCTAAATTTATTGAAAACATGGTAAAAATCACTGCACTGGACAACACAGCATGACAGGTATGTTTTCCGTGGACATTCGATACTGAGACTCTAGCCAGTAGAGCAATTACACAGCTCCCCCCGCCCCACAGGCACACCCATTTCTTCTCTTTAAATACAAGCCCTGTTTTAAATGCTAGCTGTAGCCACTGGTAATAAAGCAGCTTGCATCTGAAACAGCATGTTAGAAATCACTTATTAAGCACCAGCTTAATAATATTTGCTTACACTACTCAAGTTATCTTTTTGCTCTCCCTCTATCCCTCATTGACTGCTTTGCAGTGTTTTTGTGTGGTTTTTTTTCTTTTTTTTTCTTCATAAGCACTTAATTCTTCCTTGGTACAAAATTTATCCAAAACAAAGGCAAAATACTTTATACACCTTGCTGTGGAAATGTTTAATGCTGTTGCTGCTTTGCCACTTCACTGCCCAGGACCTGACAGACTCTTGTTCATGAACTGTCTCTTCACAAAGCAGATCCACCACTGCAGAAGGAAGTACAAAGTCAGAAAATATGTAAAAGCAGTTTCCATGCAATAAACAAAATAGTGACTTCAAAGTATTCAACTTCTGACAAATAACAAATGATAAGGCTCCATTTTTGCACATAGTTTTCCACACTGGTTTCTACTGGAATTCAGGCAAACAGGAGGACAGGAATGGACCAAATGAATTTATAATATAGGTCTCTGAATTAAAGCAGGACATTCTACTTTCTCTTCTTTCTATTATTTTATTTTTATTGCTTATTCCAATGTAATTATAAACAAGGGATGCATCAGAAAGCTATGCCTTTGAAACTAAATTAGCCTAACTAATTTCAATATTAAATACAGTCACATTTGCACATGAAACATATGAACAGTCAGGAGGCAATTCATGCATTGATTAGCTATTTTTTTAAATCCGGATATGAGGCAAAATGGTTTACTTCAAAGAAACTATTAAATGCCTGGGAAGATAAACAGCATCTCTTATGCCTGTGAATTTCCATTTGAAAACCTAGCCAGCAGCAGATGTTCAGTACTTTTAAGAGACCAGACACCACTTATTTACTGCCCTGCTTTTTAAAGTGACCCAAATTGGTGTTCGCTGTCTTACCGCATTACAGATTAAATTTATTGATAACTTGCAGCCTCCTATTTAACTAGTCTTGTAAAACCAGGGAAGCTTGCGCCAAAGTTACCCACACCTGGTCCCTCACCCCATCATCTCACTTCTCTCCACACCTTTCTGAAAAAACACACCAAACTTCTCATTAAATCTGTGATGATCGCACTAAATTCTTACCTTACTAGGCTTGTCACTTTGAGGATCAAATACTTTTTCACAAAGGCGAAGACCAGTTTCTTGCCTCAGCTGCTGTAGGTAGGCCCTCATCACCTCTGAAACATAGCACAGGAAAAAACAGTGTAAACTGAGGCAGCAAATCAAACTGAATTTAACAGGGAATCATCAGATATCACTGCAGAAAGTGGAGTTTTCACATCTGCAGATACTTGTCAGCCGGCTGAGTTGGTTTGCTCAATGTACAGCCATACTTGGGATTTTTATGACATTTGTACCACTAAAAAAAATGATCCAAACTGTTTTCTTCTCTCAGTTACCTTTGCTCATTATTGTGGGCTTCTTATTCTGCCAGTGCAGCAGTTGACTTGGGCTCCATTACAGGGTTTAGCTAGTGATTACGTTGATGCAAAAGACAGACTCAGACCCCTATTAATTCGTTCTGTTGGATCTATGGATCCAGGGGAGTCACTGGGCCCCCCGAGGTCAGAAAATCCAGCCTCTGCTGCCCTCAGAAGATAATTGCAGATTTAGAAGATTCAGTTTTAACGTTAACTTTGCAGTCACAAAAATGCAGCTAGTAAATTATGAGCCCAAGGAAGCCTTCAAAGGTCCTGCATTAGCCTTACCTTCCTCCTGTTTGTTGCCAGGTTTGGCGTAAATGGCATTAAGCGGAAAGCCAGGCTCCCCGGGGATTGGGAAGTTAGTGATTCCTAGTGTGTACATTTCTTTCTCTCCTTGGCCTTTGGAGTTACACTGGAAGAACCATGCAAACAATGGATTAACAGCTATAAACAAAAGCTGACGAGTGTTAGTCCAAATATTTTACCGATCTCTTATAAAGACTCATCAAGAAAAATAACACAATGTCTCTTTGGAGATCCACAGCCTTGAAGTATCTGTGACTCTGACAGCTGGCACTGGGGTGAACAGGATTAATTGTGCCACTGGGAGGAGAACATCAGCAAACCCTTTCCCGAGTACAATCTCCAGAACAGACTCAGTTTCCCCCCTGCACAGAAATTCACTTTTCTTACCTTTTGTAGCTTTTTCAAGCACTCAGAAATGTAGAGGGTTATGTAGATCAGCGTTCTGTCAGCCTCGTTCTGCAAAACAAAAGCGAGCACAGAGCCCAGCCGCTCAGAGATTAAGGGAGACTTTATGGAACTGATAAAAGTTTGAAAGAGAAATGAGTTCAAGCCATTTTGGCCTACAATTTCCCCATGAGAGCAGGACTTGTAAGTCATGACATTTACCCAACCTTAAAAATTAAGTGAGAGGAAGGGGAGTTTTTGTTATCTAGTAGAATTACTTCACTGAAAAAAAAATGTATTCACGGCACCAACCCTCCAAAGGACTACTATATGCGCAGTATCTCAAAAAATTACCTTAATTTCATAATTTTTGAAGAAAACATTAGCTTTGAAGTAGTAGATGGCTTCATCTATAATATCTGTGTCCTTAGCTAGCAAAAAAGAAATACAGAGTTAAACAGTGCACTGTTATACTACATCTGGTCATAACTACTCACTGAAATACATAAATAAGGATTATTGCAAAGGCAAAACCTTGGTATTTACAAAAAGCAGAAGACAGCACTACATAACAGAAAACAGGCATTGCCGTGTGAAACACTGGTGAGCTCAGACCATAACATTTAAGCTTCTTACTCTTAGCAGGATCTTTAATTCCCTTCTCCTCCTCCCCCCATGATTTCTTATTTCACAAACGGCAGCAATTCAGCAGTTCCCCGCTTTTCTACCAGTTGAGTAACTCACCAGAGTTTTAACAGCGTAAAAGTCGTTTCAGGACACAGAAATGTTATTGGAGAAAGCCTAATACCACAATCACACAAATTTCATTATACTCTTCAAAGAAAAGGAGGGGGAGCAGAACACTTAGTGGCAAGCTTACTTGGGATCCTCACCTGCTTTTGCTACTATCCAAGACTGCTTAAATCCAGAAACATTTCCTTCATATTTCCTTTCTCACACTGAACCACCACAGTACTGAGGAATATCATGCCTGGGAAGCGCTACTTAGTGTGCTGAAGGGGAATCCATACCATGCTGCCTGTAGACTCTGTTGGGATGCCCGTAACTTCATTTCAATTTCTGAAGCCCCCTACCCTAAAGTGCTGCCTATCCTACTCCTCGTCCTTCAGAGCAGCAGAGTGTCTTCAGCCACAGCCCCAAAGTGCAAGTTCTCTGTAGCTAAACCTCCACTTCCCCTGACAGCAGAGGGTTCACACCACCATGTCCTACTCAAAACCCATTGAAGAGCACAGTGAGACACAGGAGGAAGTGCAAGAATAGTAACCATTGGCTTTAATTACTGAAACAACTGATTTAAGCACCGTGCATATTTATCAGTGCATAATTATTTTCTATGATTTTCACAACTTAAGTATTTGAAAACTCTTTTCCTCCT